GGGGGCGCCCCGGGCCCAGGGCCGCGCTGGCGCGCGCGGTGGGGCGCACAGGACGGCTGGGCCGAGGGTGAGGAGGAGGGGACGCTGCAGGATCCGGCGGGATGGGGGTGGTGCTCGGCCGGAGGCGGCTATCTAGGGCAGAGGTGCGGGTGGAACGTTCGCGCGAGAAGCCGTGGTGTTGTCAGTGTCCTGCGGCGGAGGTGCCATGCCCAGGACTGTGGAAACGGTGGCTGCCCAGGTGGGGACAGACCCTGTCCAGCACTCAAAGTGTCATCATGCGGTGGCATGTTGGGGAAGAAGTGGAGGCTTCTCTCCTCGGGGCATGGGAGGTGCCGTGCATAGGCTGGGTTTGAACCCTTCCTTTCAGTGAAAAGGGGGGGGGGTCGAGTCTTGTCACCTTTCTCTTGCTGGGGACTCTCAGGCAAAGGCCAGGCCTCAGTCTGTACCTGCATGTGTGGCCCTTGGAGCCTGTATCAGCCACTCTAATACTACGTGGACTTCTCTGAAGTGCAGAGTCCCAAAGTCCTTCGGGGTGGCACTAGGAACAGTGACAATAGTGGCAGACAGTAGCTAAGAATGCCCGCTACAGCCTTGGGAGGGGGGTGGAGAGGGTCACACAAGTGACCTTGGGTGAGGTTGCTCATCTTCAGCCTCAGTTTCTCCATCCTCGAGATGAACTGTGGTTATGGTGTGTATGTGACTGAACTCAAAGCACTAGCACATAGCCAGTTGGCCTGTAGTAAGAGCCTGAGGGGAAAAATGTAGGCACTGAGCCTCTAATGTTCTTTTCTTTCCCGTAAGCCAAGCCAGGCTGGGGTCAAGAGGAGAGGCTTACAGAGCTGAACTGCAGGCCCTGGCCACTGGAGGTCACAGTTACAGCTCAGATGGGGGCCCCTGGCAGGATGTCTGAGTACCCTGGACAACACTGGCTGTTTCCTTAGTCCAAGAACATTATCCTGCTACCCCTCCCAGCCCCCACCTCCACCCTCTCCGCCTAGAGCTGAACTGATAGGACCTTCCGCCCTTCCCACTCATCAGGCAGACGCTGTTTCTTGTGCTGGCTCAGTGACTTTGGCTGTCATCCCAGGGAAACAGGGTCTGCCTTGGCCTGTGTGTACCTTCCATTGGAGGCCCTAGGAGACCTTGAAGGCACCCTTGAGTGTAGTTCTCCTGTTGAGGTGATCAAGACACTTCCTGGTCTTGGGGTGGGCTATAGGGAACCCAGGGCAGGCCTGGGGACACTGGGGAAAGTGAACGTGCCCTCTGGGTCCTCCTGGGGCTGAACTTCCTCCTCCATGTCCAACTTAGCACAAGGATTGCATTGAAGAGTCTAGAGTCCGATAGACCTTGATCCAGACCCGGATTCTACCACATATCAACCACATGACTTTGGATTCCGGATTTAGCCTTCCAGAGACTGGAAGTTTTCATAGGAAGGCGGGGGCAGCCTGGGGGAGGGAGAACACAGAACATCTGCTTCACGGAGTCACTGGGATTTAGTGAAATGAGGCAGCATGGAAGTTCACGGGTCAGGGTGGTAGTAGTGGTGACTGGAGAAAGATTTTCCTAGTCCAGTCTATAGGAAGTGAGTTCTTCTTGGCTTCCTAGAAGTGGAGGGAGGTGTGATGATTCCATCTGGCGCCTGAAAACTCCGATTAGTATGTGGCCCCAGTACCCAGGCCCTGGTTTTAGGCCCATGAATGACAAAAACAACAACAACAACAAAGGCTGAGAAAAAGTCTAGCAGCTAGCTCTGAGCTGGAGGGGGACCTGTTTGTCTCCCAGGCCCTGGGTCTCTTTGGGTCCAGCATTCCAGACCTGGGTTCAAAGTGGGTGTGTGGCTGGGGGGCATGTGTGGTAGACTGAGGGCCTTGCGTTCCAGATGCAGGCTTTGTGCTCACCTGAGGGCGCTCTGGTGTGCATCTCGGCACATTCTTGTATCTAACCTGGTCATCTCTCTCTCAGTGCGGTGGAGGAACTTTCTGGTATGTGTGGCCCTGCCCTGCCGGGGTGCAGACAGTGCCCGGAACCCAGCCAGCAGCCAGTTGAAGACACTGTGTGTGGACACTCTGGGCCCTGAGGGCTCTTGCCTGGGGTGTCGGTCTTGCCATGGCGTTCCGGAGGACCGAGGGCATGTCCATGATCCAAGCCCTGGCCATGACAGTGGCCGAGATTCCTGTGTTCCTGTACACAACATTTGGGCAGGTAAGGATTGGGGTGTATTGGGGTCCTGTCCTTTGCTTACCTCCCTGATTCAAGAAACACTGAGTGTTGCCACTGCTGTCCTGAGCATCTGAGTCTGGGGCCCGGCGCCTGGTCTTTGCCTCAAGGCTGTGCAACTTCTAGTTTCTCCAGTCCATGGGAAGGGTCAGTCTGGCCTTCTCTGATAGCCTGAGCTGTTTGAGTGTGTTGGGGCCCCTTGACACTCCCCAAAAGCTCTACCCCATGGGACACAGCCCCACCCAGTGCCCCCAGCCCAGCAGCAGAGGGTTAGCGGGAAGCCCTGGGGTATATTCACATGCAGTGGTCAGGTGAACAATACATTCACTTCCATCAGCTTTGATCATTGACAAATGGGGACCAGCAGACCTGGGCTTGAGGTTTCTTTGTCTGTGGTCACTTTCTCTCTCTCTCTCTCTCTCCTGTGCCAATTCTGGAGCTTGAACTTAAAGCCTGGGTGCTGTCTTTGAGCTTCTTTTCACTCAAGTCTAATGTGTTCTACCATATATATATAT